AAAAATAAAGTGGGTATGAAGCACATGGCTGTGACCCAGTGCTCTGCACTGAAAACCATTCCTGAGAGTCTGGCTTTGCAGTTTAGAAGAGAAACGGGTAAATAAGAGGCGGCTCCTTCAGGTGCCCACAGGTTGGCGTAGGGAAGATTGGAAACTGTTTTCCATCATTTCTCAGAGTAGATCAGAAAATCAAAAGCTTTAGTGGTTCAGGGAAATCTAATAGCATCTTTCGCTGAAGGTCACCGGCAGACCTCAGGCTTTTACTCCGAGAGAAGAAATGTGGCTTAGCAATGGGGGAAGAAAAGAGAAACCATTCTAATATAGTTCCTCTATATTAACACAGCTGGAAGGAGAAATGAAGATGGCTACTCTGAGTGTATTTTAACAGTACGTGACAATTATCCTTACAGGAAAAATAACAACATTGAGATACAGAATACATGATACAAAATTCCAAAGACACTATGTTATGCTCCTGCCGTAACTGTAGTTCCTTTAATGGTTACAACCTCTTGAGGGACTCATTCTATTATTATCTTAACAGAAGAGGAAACTGAAACTCAGGAGAGTTAAATAAATGACTAAGCACTCACAGGTGGTAACAGGAATTCCCAACATCTAACCACAGATTTTTAACATGTTTCATTATCTGATTATCTTTCTTCTATAGCCATTTTGCCAACAAAATAGGAATGGTGAAATATTTAGAGAAAGGGGGAATCTGAAAGTTTGACAAAACAATATACATAGCAGAGATCAGTATCGCAGCCATTCTGTATTGTTTAGTTCAGGTTCTTGAAAAAAAATTGAAAATAATATATTATTTCTTTCTGTGTGTATATTTGTGTGCGTTGTGTGTAACTGTGTGTATGTGTGTGCTGTGTATGTTTATATGTATGTGTTTTGTGTGTATATGTGTGTGCTGTGTATGCGTGCATGTTGTGTATGTGGGGCATACACATACCACGGTGTTCTTGCGAGGTAAAAGGAGAATTTCATTGAGTCAGTTTTTCCACATTTAGGTGGGGATCAAATTCAGGTTTTAAACTTTTGCAATTTTTTTTTCCTGCTGATGAAAGAAGTCTCAGTGAGGGACTCCAGAACAGACTAGTCTCTGGGCCTGTGTCTGCAGGTGGTTCTGTTAATTGCGGTGGGAAGACCCACCCACTGTGGGTGGCACCATTTCCTAGGCAGGAGCTTCTGCCCTGAGTACTGCTGGAGAAAATGGAAACCAGCATGCATGCATTGACTCCCTTCCCTGCTCCGTGCTTTTGACCGTGGCTGTAGCATCAAAGCTGCCTATGTTCCTGCTGCCTTGATTTTCCTGCAATGGTGGACTGGAACTTGGAATTGTGAGCCAGATATTTCTCCCCTAAATTGTTTTCATCGTAGCAACTGGAGAAGCAACTAAGACAGGAACATATTGACTGCCTTTGATTCACGGTAGTAGTGGGAAGAATCTAAACATTTGTTGAAGCCAGAAAGGCAGAAAAGCTTCTAAGTTAAAAACAAACAAACAAACAAACAAAATAATTGTCATTTTGGGCAATAGCAACAGTTCTCACTGTATGGACTTCTGCCATTTCCAAAGCATCATCTTGACGCTTTTCCTGTGAGATATGAGCCACCCTGTGCTCTTCGCCCAGAGCAGCTGTAAAGGCAGGATTATAAACTGGACGTGAACTTGAGATTATAAAGCAGGCTTCGAATGAAAGGTTGACCATTCTAGCGAGCAGTGCGACCATGAGTGTCTGAGTCCTTGTGCTTTGGGTTCACAAGTATTCGCTGTAGCGCTGCAGTCACCCTGCACACCAGTGAGACCTGCACACCAGTCTTCCTCTTCCATGCCCCAAACTGCACTGCTCTACTTTGTCTAGGGTTTAATCTTATTCTCTCTTTGAAGCAAACTGTGAATCCCCAAAGCCAGGAGCAATTTTTCTAATTAAACTTTTAAATCTTCCATAAATTGTTCAGAAAAAGAATAATAACGCAAGAAAATAAAGCCTTTTGTCCCCCTTATATTTTGTCCTTATATTTCAGCTAAGGATAGTTTATAGGTACAGGAAATTTTAGGATTACAGAATAAGTTAATATTTAGTGCAACAACCACCAACGTTGCCAAGTTACAAAGTTGTTGGTCTGACCCATGGGCAAATCTATTCTGAAAGTGGGTGCCTCTGAGAAAAACAGAAGTTGAGTAGATGTTACTGTGCAGATGGATGTTACTGTAAAGCAACGAGATACATTTTCACTTAATGGCTTTTAAAACGAATCCTACTGTTTTACATCTTGCACATTAAGATACATTAAGGCATTCTTTAATTACCTGATAGTATTTAAAGGCTGATGTTATGTACATATGATATACATACAAGTGGCATTGCAAGCAAAACTGGTTTTCTGAGAGCAAGCACATCGTACTGAACACATTACAAAGCTCATTGGCTAAGAACATGGATGAAAAGCATGGCCGATGGAGAATCACGGAGAGGAGACTGGGCTTCAAACATATTTTAAAGTTTCTTAGGATGCTCTCATCTCCACAGAAACAAAGTTATTCAGAAACTCTTGACAGAAATACTCTTGCACCTAAACTAACCTAAACTGACAAACGAGAAGTTAGGAAATGCTAACTTGGGCATATCCTCATGCAAAAGGCCAGAGGCGTGATGTGTATATCAAGTAGTAACAATTGCAAAATTTTACTTCTTTTAGAACATGGAGCTCAAAATTTCAAATTTCTGAACTTCTCAAATCTCATTGGAGAGTTTATGATCACATACTTGAGGAATATTTAGGATACTACATGCAACTTATAGGGTTATTTTAAAACATATTTTGTCCTTAAAAACTGTATTTTCTTCTATATGATTAAGTGTCCCTAAATTTTGTGACTATTCCTTTGTACCTCTGACATATTATTAAGAGAATTTTCTAGAAGTTTTCATTTTTCAAGCCATTATTAAGTTTTTTTTTTAACTTGAAGAGGTCTCACCACTGTCTTCAAAGCTATTATAAAGTAGTTTCAATATTATTTCACAAAATAAGAAACTTGGGCTATTCTCTAGAAATCCACAGACGTAATGCTTTTTGTCCACTAAGGCAGCTATTTTATTATCCATAGTCTTTATTAAAGATTTTATTTTTAATTTTATTTATGTGCATTTGCGTGTGCATGCACACACATGTGCAAGAGAGAACATTGTCTGTAGAGGGTAGGCGAGGTCATAGCATCACCTGGAGGTGGAGGGCAGTATGGGTACTGGGAGGTGTGTGTTCCTAACCAAAAGGCCATCCTCCCCTCCTCTGCCCTTAGTCTTTAAACCTGACTTTAAGGGAAGCCTCCGAGTCATGTTCTCCTGCAGTGGTTCCCAGTCTTCCTCATGCTGTGACCCTCGTGTTGTAGTGATCCCCAAACATAAAATTATTTTATTGTTACTTCATAACTGTCATTTTGCTACTATTATTGATTGTAATGTAGGATATCTGATATGTGACTCAAAGAGGTTGTGACCCAGAGATTGAGGATCACCCCTCAAGGAATTCTATTCTCTCTCTCTCTCTCTCTCTCTCTCTCTCTCTCTCTCTATATATATATATATATATATATATATATATATATATATATATTATGGACCTGTTAATCCCACAAAACATTTTCCTCCCAAATTGGCTTTGGGGCTGGTGTTCATTACAGCAGCAGAAGCAAACCAGGCCAGGCTCAGTTAGTCAGCAAAATTCAGAAAGCAGGAAGATTTACCTGCCTGCCTGCCTGTCTCCTGGACCCTTACTCGAATTTTCTACCCATAACCAACAACCATGAGAGCCTCACAGACACAGTGGCACATTTTGGATGTTTAATCAGTTGAAATAGTAGTAATTATTACCGAGCTCCAGCCCATGTTACAGGAAGGATAACGCAGATTTGGGGGTGCACACCTTAGTGCTAAGCCCTTTCCTAATACTCCAGCAAATGCCATCTTTCCCTGGGTCACGGCCAGGGAGCACAAGAGCAACACAAACAAAGATAAAAATAGCTCCGGGTCAGTTGACTTTGATGGAAGGGATTCCTCCTGACCTCGGGTGGCAACAGTAACTGTTGACTGCACTTCACACAGCGCTGGGGAGTCCCTAACATACTGTACTAGCATCTCCTATCAGGGACTCCCTCACGCTCAGCAGAGAGAGGCGGAGGTGAATCTGGGTCTCGAATGCAGCTACCTCGGTCACCAGGACGTATTTCCTTCCTTAATTTTTCTTGCAATGAATCGGTTTTAAAATTCCTATTTCAAACAAATGCAAAATAGAGTTACGTTCTCATGTAGTTTATACCACATTCATACGCCATGCTTCATACAATATGCTCCACAAATGAGGAAAATGTCATCGGTCCCATCACGTGTATCTATTTATTATCTAGTGATCTAAATTATATTAAATATAAATAATGTAAAATAAACTACATAAAACATTCAAACCATTATCACTATAAACTAAATAGGTGCTTACAATTGTAGAATCACAAATTACTCCCACTACACTTATTTTATCCATATATATAAAATATATAAATATATATGTGCATATATATATACATTCCAGTTTCTTTTTCTGAGTTTACATTTAAATTAATTTAATTGTAGTATAATTAAGTTAGTAAGCACTTATCAGAACTCAGGAAGGAATTAAAAAAATCATAGACAATGGGGGGGGCAAAAAGTGATTTACGACTTCTCAGTAAACTAATGTGGCTAGCATTTATTCACTACATAGAGTTTTCTTAAAAGCAATTTGTTTGGACTCCTCTGGCTGCATATCTTAGCTGACTTTGTTAAGCGGTCTTTGACAGGCCTGCAGGAAGGCCTCTGCTCCTGGGTTAGTGCAACAATGGTTACTAAGAAGACGTGAAAGAGGGAAGGAGAGAGAGAGAGATCTGAGGCTGGGGAAACACACGAGGAGGAAGAAGGGCTTTGAAAAGCACTTAAGGAAAATTCACCTACCAGCTCTACTCGTCCGAAACCTCCGACTCCGAGGGTGTCGATGATGTTGAAATCAGACAGCTTCAGGTTGGCGAAGAAGGCGGCTTCGGCTTCATATCTGGATTTTTTGATGTGAAAAAATGGAAATTTCTTAGAGGTGCAGACACGAGTACCAGGTATGAGTGCACTGGAAAGGCATGGCTGCGGCACAGGCTTTACCCGCGTCAACTCCATTCTGCTTTTAGAGTCTGCGTTTTCTCACACTCATACTCTTTAGGTCCCAGCTGTACAGAATAACATAGGCTTGCACTTGTTTTTGCAAAGCAGAGACAGACAACACAGAGCATCCAGTGCCTGCCAGCCAAGTGACTGATAAGCGCAGTAACAAACCAGTCACATCTTGGTGTTTTTCCTACGCGTCTTCTTGCGAGCATGGACTGTCTGAGTTGCTCTCTTTTGGATTTGTTTTGGATGTGTTGGGTTTGCTTGGTTTGGTTTTTGCTGTTCAGGTTTTAGATAGCAGTTTCTCATTAGCTCCCCTTATCCACAGATTGGCAGTGTCTTCTATCAGTACTTATCAAGAGTGGCAGGATCCAGAGACAAGCGGGGGGCGTCCCTGGCGTGAAATCCCAGCTAGGTCTTAGGAAAACAGATCCGAAAACCTGAGAACTGAGGTGCAAATGTCTGCAATGGATGATCCCAGGAGCATATTCACGTCCCTGAGAAAGGTCTTTCCTCCACTTAGATCTACGCACGGACTTTCTGCTAGCAAGCCCCGTGTCTTTCTGTTTGCAAGGTTTTTATATGAGTGGTGAGAAGCAGAGACTAGCATCCAAGCCTAACTGCACACGTGTCAATCTGACGCAGGCAAGAGGCCAAAATACGCTTCTACCCAATGAGAAGACAGTATGCGTTGCCTAAAATATCTCCTGGTTAAAGGCCTTGCTGTTTTTAGAAAGGGCAGGAAGGCTTAAAGATGAAGAGGATCGGCCCACTGACTAAGCCAGGTCAGGACCACATTCAGCTGTCTCAAAACTGAAGTGCTGAAATCCCTATGTAATGACCTTTGACCTTCAGGCCAATAGGACTCAATCTAGTACTGTACTGTGCACAGACATGGAGAATATACTTGAGGAAATATACTCGAGGACACAGATTTGATCATTTTCAATACAGTCATGGCACCTTCTGTGTTATCCTCTATGGCATTTTTCCTTACCCTATTATAATCAAACAGACCTTTAAAAGTTGTTAGACTGCAAAGCACATGTAACAGCTTCTTAGAGGAGCTTTCAACCCTCTTCAATTTACAGTTACAGTTACACTTTTACAAAAAGTCCCTTGTTGCTAGACAACTCAGAGTGGGTGAAAACAAGCAGAAAAGTACTAATCTTTATTTGCTTATTGTGTGAGTTCTTTGAATCAGACTCTATAAACAAAGCTGGTGAATCCAAGAGTGTTTGCAAAGTTCTCACATTAATGACAAAATCCAAAGGTCACCAGAGTGGTCCAGGAGCTGATGAGCGAGACCGGAACATAAGGAACAAATGCGCATTTCTAACATTCCAACTGCCATCTGCTTTGGGAAAGTTAAACTCCATCCCATTTAATGAGACAGTGGCAGAGTTGACTCCAACAGGTGCTTAAAAGGACATCTGTTGAGATCAGACTCCATGAGGGTTTATACGTGGTCAAATATTTCCTGGTCGTCTAGATAAAAATGAAACGACTGAGAAATTAAACTTATGCCCTGGCAGTGTTGAAGCATGCATGGACAGCCCAAATATGGCGGCTCTGCTGAACTTGTCCTTATTGGGTTTCATGGTCTAAGCTGATGAGAATGACTGACCAGGTCTCTTCCTTAATGGGCATCAGATCCCATTACAGATGGTTGTGAGCCACCATGTGGTTGCTAGGAATTGAACTCAGGACCTTTGGAAGAGCAGGCAATGCTCTTAACCGCTGCACCATCTCTCCAGCCCAAAGATGGCTTAACAGGCCCACATCCTAATAGCATTGCTCCAGTTTTTGATTTTCGTTAAACAGAACAACAAAAAACACCTTTTATAAAAACATGGAGTTTTAAAAACATTTTTGAAACCTTCCTACCCATTCTATTTTATCCGCCTCAAAACAAACATGAAAAAGATCTGAAGGGAAAAATTTAAACAGTGGCCAGTTCTAACTTCATCCAGTTGCTGAATTTTTAAGACATCACATTAACTGCTGGCCCATTAATCAAGACCTTTGCTGTTTCCTTTAGGTTTTTGCCTTGTTTGGCTTTGTGTACTTTTTGAGACAAGGTCTTTTTTTTTTTAAGCGAGGGCTGCCTTTAAATCCATGGTCCTCCCTCCTGCTTTAGCTTCTCCAGAATTGGGGTTATGTATATGGACTACAAGATTTGCATATTTTATATTTTTATTAATCTAAAATATGATGTGGAATATAACACTTTACTAAAATGTCATGTCAGTACTAATATAACCACATATTTGTAACAAGAACATCTTTGAATAATAATGTGTTTTCTGGATGCATAGGTCTCAGGTGTACAAAGGGCACACTCAGACTATTGCATTAGTTTTATATCTGTTTAATTTATGACATTATTACTTAAACCCTTGAATAGACCCCAACATTCAATTTGGCCTTGTAGTAGGCTGAAATACATCAAAATGAGTGAGGTGATTCCAGCTTTGGCAGGACATCAAAGCTCCCCGAGGTCTTTCAAAAGTAGTCAGAGCCATGCTATAACCAAATGAAACAACTACTTCTAGGACTTTTGGTACCAAAAGTCTTCATTTTGTGAAACTCCCAGTGACTCAATTCATAATCAGTGATGAACCCCAAAGGTCTAAACATTCTCAAAGCTCCAACCTGTTCCAACAGCAGCTTCCGAGTCCGAGTGAGAATTAAATTAGACCAGAGAATTAGAGGTGGTAGAACCTGGCATGAAGTTTTGGCTCCTGAATTTTTGGCCCTCCATCATCAGATGAACAATTGTTCTGTAATGGCTAGCAGCTTAAAATGTTAGCAAATAAATAATTAGGGCCAGCGAGATGGATCAGTTGGATCAGAACAGATCTGATCAGATGGATCAGAACAGTGCTTGCAAAACAAATCTGACAACCTTAGTTTAATTCCAGGAACCACTTCTAAAAGTTGACCTTCGATCTTCACACGTAAATGCCTATACTCACCCAGGACATACACACACACATATACACATGCACATATATGCACACACATGCATACATACATACACCAATAAATAGCTCATACAAAGTAGAAATATTATGATGTACTTTTGTTGGTCACTAAAAGTATTTCAACTAATGAGAGGGGTATAGTAAATTTTCTCCCAGGTAGCAGATAATTTTCTTTAGTTATAAAAATCCATTTATATATATATTTATATATAATTTATATATATATATTCCCACTCACTAGAAACACTAATTGTGATTACTGATATTGCAATTACACTTTGTTAGTCTTTTTAATTACTCTGCTGTTATAATGTTCCCTGATGATATGATCTTACTATTGATGAGATATATTTTAAAGGAGCCTTAAGATAATTCTCGTCTTCCTCTTCTACTCTGTTTCTATTTGTGTCAGGGGCTAATTCTTGGACGGTTCAAACCACACAGAGGCTCTTTATCTTTTCCGACCCAAGGAATGCTATGAGTTGCATGTTGCTTTAGATGTGGTCACTTTTTTCTCGTTTAGATTTATTAAAGAGTAGTAGCTTCATCACAGAGACTTTTCACATGTTCCCTTGTGAATCAACAACTTTTAAACATGAATGATGTTGTGTAAAAGAATTTCTAAAGATGCTCAGATGCGATTTTCTTTTCGGTCTTTTACTTTATTGTCCCCAATGGGAGGGATATAACCATTCTTTCCCTTGGGGTTTTATCTCAATGATCTTCAAATTTCATTAGAGCTGATAAAGTTTAAATGAGAAAGAAACTAAGTAAATAGTTATTTATCAAATATTTTTTTATCAAAAACAAATTGTGTCCAGTCTAAGTTTTTAGTTAAACTGCTGTGGGGAGGCTCGGGTACAAGGAATTAGGTATGGTAATGTGTTCACATGTTGTACAGTGTTAATGGGAAGGCAGTTGCCCAGTGTTTGATAGAAATCCATTTTAGCAACATGTATAGTCCTCAGTGTTTGGTTACATATACTATAACAGGGCTATAAAATATATTCTCTAATTGCTCTAAAGTTAGTGTGAGCCACTCACTTAAAATTATTATTATTAACTTAGTGATGGGGTGAAACTTATGGACATGTTTCTCCAGAAAAGTGCAAATACTGGTATACAAGTTTCAGTTACATTGATCCAAAGCCTATAAACACATAAATAGATCAATAGAGCACAAATAGAGTTTAGAGTATGGTTTAGAGATGGAGTTTATGCTTAGCAAGTCTGAGGCTCCAGTTTCAATTCCCAGCAAACATATAAAATGAATAAGCAAAACTGTAACAGACAAATAAAAAAGAAAAAAAATGTCTATACAAGACACTACGTGTGTTGAGTGAGGCAGGCAGAAGGCAGAATGTGTCATTTTGCAGACATTCCTGATGATAAAATTCCTGAGGCACTGTAGCGATTAGAAACAATAGAGTATTGTTAATCCTTACATGCGATTTGTTAAACCGTGAACTGTCAGACTGTTACGACCTGCTGGAAAAGAACAACAAAATTGCCCTGAATTTTACTCCCTTTTCAATTTCCCTTTTATGCCGCAGGTGTTCCTGAAGTAGTGAAGCTGAAAAACCAGTGGAGTGGAGGTGAGACCAGGACACGCAGCCTGGACCACCCGCAATTCTCTCGCCCTTGCCTCTTCCTCGCCTCTTCCTATGACAGCTCATTTGCACTTAGTTTACTTGTATTTCTTAGGCAGCAGATACTAGTCTTTAGATTTCCAGTTCTTCCACTCCTAGCAGCCTGGAGTCAGAACAAGGAGTTCCTTACTAACCATCACAGCTGCTTCTCTGGTTCTCACAGAGCATCTATGCAAATTACTGCAATTTTTGAATTAAAAGAATTGGATGCGACAGCTCATGACTTATTATTAAACTAGTCAACATGTTTCTCTGGGTCT